AAAGTGGAACCCAGGGCTAAGAGCTCATTTTTATTTTTTTAAGTTGTAGATGGACATAATATCTTTTCAATCATTCATTTTTTTTTGGTGGGGTTCTCTTTCTTTCTTTGGAACTGGGGGTCAAACCCAGTGCTTTGTGAATGCAAGGCAAGCACTTTGCCACTGAACTACATCCCAACCCTTGTTTATTTTTATATGGTGCTGAGGACCAAACCCAGTGCCCCACACATGCTAGGCAAATGGTCAACCACTGAGCCACAACCCCATTCTTTTTTTTTTAAGCCTTGAATAGCATTACATCATCTGAACATACTCCAGTTTATCTTTTCAGCTATTGAAGGACATCCTGGTTCCTTCTACATTTTGACAGTTATGAATAAAGCTGTTATAAACATCCATGTGCAGGTTTTTGTGTGGATGTGTAAGTTACTTTTTAAAACCTTTTATTATGGACAATTTAAAACATTCCCAACTAGAGAGAACAATGTAACAAATCTACACCTTAAACACCAGGCAGCATCAAAGGGGCCAGTCTTTTGTTCTTTGTTTGAGGGGAGGTCTTGCTATGTTGCTCAGGCTGGGCTCAAGAAATCCTCTTGCCTCAGCCTACAAAGGAGCAGAGACTGTGGGCTCAATCTTGTTTATTTATTTAGTTTTGGTGCTGAGGATGGAACCCAGAGCCCCACACATGCCTAAGTATGTGCTCTACAACTGAGCTACACCCCCAGTCTTGTGTTAAATCTACCCCATCCCTACCCCCAGTATCTGGGAGAGGCTGGTACTGGAATTGAACCCAGGGGCACTTTACCACTGAGCTACATCCCCAGTTCTTTTTATTTTTGAGACAGGTCCTCACTAAATTGCTGAGACTGGCCTGTAATTTTCTTTTCTTTTTTTTTTTTAATTTTTTTTTTTGAGAGAAAGAGAGAGAATTTTAATATTTATTTTTTAGTTTTCGGCGGACACAACATCTTTCTTTGTATGTGGTGCTGAGGATCGAACCTGGGCCGCACGCATGCCAGGCAAGCGCGCTAACACTTGAGCCACATCCCCAGCCCTGGAATTTTCTTTTTAAGTATTTTTTTTATTAATTTATTTATATTCGGGAAAATCAAACCCAGGCAAGTATTCCACCACTGAGCCACAACTCCAGCCCTTTGACTGGAACTTTCGATCCTCCTGCCACAGCCTCCTGAGCCATTGGGACTACAGGTGTGCACCCCTGTGCCCGGCTAACAGTAAGTAATTCTGAAACAAATCCTGCACATTATATCATTCCATCTGTAAAAACTTCAAAAATGTATCTCAAAAAGATAACTGCAAATAGTAATCTCAGTGTCATTGACACAGAGAAAAAGCTTAAAGATAATACCTAGTGTCATTGTATAGCATATGAAGGTTTAGATTTCCCCAACTGATTCTTAAATATTTGTGTTTTGTCTGTTTATAATTTGTTCAAATCAAAATCCAAATGAGGGATAGGGTTAGAGCACTTACCTGGCATGCATGAGGCCCTGGGTTCAATACTGAGCACCACATAAAATTAAATAAATATAAATAAAGATATTGCGTCCATCTACAACTAAAAAAATAAAGATATTGCATCCATCTACAACTTGGATCTTATTTGGCTGTAAAACAGCCAAATAAGGTCCAAGTTGCATTTAGTTGAGGGCAGTTTCCTGAAAGTCTCTTTGAGTCTCTGGGTTCTGCTTTCTCTCTTTTCTCACCCCTTGCAACATATTTGTTGTTGAAACCAGGTTTGTTGTCCAATAGATTTTACTAGTATGATGTCATCTCTGTGGTTAAGTTTAACACATTTCTCTTTCCACTGAACTTGACAAACTGTTTGCTTTCGTTTTTTGGTGTTTTTTTTGTTTTTTGGTGGAGGGGCCAAGATTCCTTCTCTGGTGGCACTGTGTTCTCAGCAGGAAGCACAGATCTGCTAGTCCTGGTTTTAGTGACAGGAGCAGCTGCCCACATCCTTTGGGGATCAAACCCGGGTTGGTACTGGGGTTTGAACCCAGGGGCTCTTCACCATTGAGCTACATTCCCAGCTCCCCCCTTTATATTTTTTTAAGTTTAAGAGGGTCTCCCTAACTTGTCAGACTGTGCCTGGCAGGGATGCACAGGGTTTTATTGTTGTTTTGACTTTTTGTGGTGCTAGTGATCAACCCCAGGGCCTCACACATACTAGGCAAGCCCTCTACCACAGAGCTGCACTTCCAGACCTGCACAGATGCAGTTTTAATTTTCCAACATTTGGAAAATTTTCAGACATCCAAAAAAGTTGGAAGAATTCTTCAATGAACACCCTAAATTCTACAATGAATGTCTGGGCCACATTTGCTTTATAATGCTAGCTCAATTCGCCTAATCATTCCTTTGCCCATCCCTCAGTCCATCTCATATTTAAGATGTAAGACAGAGCTGGGATTGTGGCTCAGCAGTAGAGCGCTCGCTTAGCACGGATGGGACCCGGGTTCAATCCTCAGCACCACATAAAAAAAATAAAATGCGTTGTGTTGTGTCCATCTCCACCAAAAAATTTAAAAAAAAAAAGATGTAAGACAAAATAGTTGGATGCCATTTTTTTGGTGTGAAAATTTATATAATACTTTTTCCTGTTTTATTTTTTAATATTTATTTTTTAGTTATAGTTGAACACAATACCTTTATTTTACTTATTTATTTTATTTTTTAAAAAATATTTATTTTAGTTTTCGGTGGACACAACATCTTTGTATGTGGTGCTGAGGATCGAACCCGGGCCGCACGCATGCCAGGCGAGCGCGTTACCGCTTGAACCACATCCCCAGCCCCCTTATTTATTTTTATGTGATGCTGAGGATCAAACCCAGGGTTCACATGTGCTAGGTGAGCAGTCTACCGCTGAGCCACAACCCCAGCCCCTTTTAACCATTTTTAAATGTACTGTTCAGTGGCATTAAATATAATACCACTATAATTTCTAGAACTTATTCATCTTTCCAAACTGAAATTCTGTACCCATTACACAATACCTCCTCCTATCTGAGCTGCTGGTAGCTTCTGTTCTACTGTCTCTATGAATCTGCCTATGTGAGGGACCTGGAATAAGTGGAAGCACACAACATGTATCCTTTGTGACTGTCCTACCTCATTTCACATAATGTCTTTCATGTTTATCACATAAGCCAGGCATGATAGTATACCCTTGTAATGCCAGTAGCTCAGGAGGCTGTGACTGGAGGATTACTAATTTGAGGCCAACCTGGACAACTTAGTGAGACTGTTTCCAAAGCAAAAAATAAAAAAGGCTGGGGAGCTGAGCACAGTGGTGCACACCTGTAATCCCAGTGACTCAGGAGGCTGAGGCAGGAAGATCTCAAGTTCAAAGCCAGCTTTAGCAAAAGTGAGGTGCTAAGCAACTCAGTGAGACCCCATCTTTAAAAATAAAATACAAAATAGGGTTGTGGATATGGTCAGTGGTCGAGTGCCCCTGAGTTCAATCCCCAGTACCAAAAAAAAAAAAAAAAAATTGGAATATAGCTAGGGTAGTGTGTCCCTGGGTTCAATCCCAAGCAGTGGGAAAGAAAAAAATAATAAGATTTGTGTTGTAACCTTTGTCAGAATAACCTTCCTTCTTAGGGCTACATAATATCTCCTTCTATGGACAAACCACATTTTGTTTACCCATTCATCCACTGATGGGTGCTTGAGTTGCTACCACCTTTTGGTTACTGTTCGTAATGCCACTGTGAACATGGGTGTACAGATTTCAGAGTCCCTGCTTTCAGTTCCTTAAGGTACACACAACTAGAGGCAGAACTGCTGGGTCATACAGTAAACCTGTGTTCTTTTTTTAATTTTATTTTAGTTTTTTTTAGTTGTTGATGAACCTTTATCTTATTTATTTATATGCGGTGCTGAGAACTGAACCCAGTAACTCACACATGTGAGGCATGTGAGGCAAGCGCTCTACCACTGGGCCACAACATTGAATCTGCCTATGTGGGGGACCTCGAATAAGTGGAAGCACACAGCTCTCTGTTCAACTTTTTTGAGAATCTGCCAAACTGTTTTCCATAGCAGCTACACCATGTTACATTCTACCAATGAAGGGCAAGGATTCCCGTTTCTCTAATCCTCACCAGCATTAATTATTTTCTCCTTGTTGGTTTTGGTTATGGCATCCTAATGAGCATGAAATGGCATCTCATCAGAGACTTTCTTTTGTTTTACTTTTGAGATGGGGTGTCTTGGTTGTCTGTCAGCCTCAAACTTCTAGGCTCAAGTTACCCTGCACTGGCTTCCCCAGCAGGGGATACCACATGGGAATGTAGCCAAGTCCAGTTTACACTGAGGTTTTGATTTGCATTTCCTGAATGACCTGTGGTGTTGAGCAGCTTTCCTATGCTTATTGGCAAAAGCACATCATTGGAGCAAAGTCTGTTTGAATCTCTTGCCCATTTTTGAACAAGGTTATTTTTTCTTGTTGAGTTGTATGAATTCTTTATAATCTGAATATTGATCCCTTATCAGATATGCTATTTATAAAATACTTTTTTGGGGGAGTCCTAGGGATTGAACCCAGGAATGCTTTACCACTGAGCTCAACCCCAGCCCCCCCCCTTTTTTTTTTTTAACTATGAGACAGGGCTTTGCTAAGTTGCTGAGGCTGGCCTCAAACTTGTAATCCTCAGCCTGAGTCTCTTGCGATTACAGGCGGGCGCCACTGTGCCCAGCTACAAAATACTGTTGATTTGGGCTTTAGCTTCAAATTTAGTTCTCAACTTAGGCTGGGAAATGCACTGTTTGGGGAGTAGAAAGGGCAGCAGAGGGGCAACCTGGTTGGAGGGGGAATGCTCTGGGTGGGGGTGCTCGGATGAGCCCAGGGATAGAGAGTGGGTGAAGGCAGGGGCAGCATCAAGGCCTGCAACAAGGTCTCTCTCTGGAGCTCAGATCAGAGGCCCAGGAGGCTGACCAGAGGCCAGAGATCGGGTGGGTGGGAGGGGAAATGCCTAGATCCTAGACCCCTAGATCCTTCTTTTGGAGTAGAGACTCCTAGATCCTTCTTTTGGAGTAGAGACCAGCTGCCTGGAGAGGGCAGAAAGGGGAGAACAGAATAGTGATAAAAGCCAACCATGAGCAGCATCCTGGGGAGACAGTGGCTCAGGACCCAGCTGTGGCCAAAACACCCCACCTCAGGACTACCTGCAGGAAATGGGGTCCCCCAAATCTTCAAATGTACAGGTCCTCAGTGGTCAGTCAGGGCCTGGCACACAAGTCCAAAAAGTGTTGGCTTTGTTCATTTTTGTGGCTCACATTTCCTAAGGCACCTTACTGTGGCCTCCAAATCTCTTATTTGCCCCCTACTCCCAGAGGGTTGCGATCTCCCACAGACCCTTGAAACTATGCCTAGCAATCCCGGCATTGTGGTCCCTTGAAATGCTGCCTTGAAATCCCACCTTATTGGCAGCCGGACGGCACATACAGCCTCCTAGCTACTCAGGAGGCTGAGGCAGGAGGATTGCTTGAGCCCTGGAGTTGGAAGCAGCCTGGGCAATAGTGAGACCTAGTCTCAAAAAAAAGGGAAAAAGAAAACGAAATGCTGCCTTATCGCTTCAAGGACAGTACTAGAGGCTCCTATTAACTTCCTCTCTGGGGACAGAACCCTGTCCCTGCACCTAAGTTCAGACGGAAGGTGTGTCATCCCCCTTCACTCCCCACCCTCAAGGCTTCCAGGACTGACAGCAAAAGCAGCCGCTATCCTGTCAGCATTTCCTGTGGGTTCATTTGCGTGCCAGCAGAGCAACTGGGTCCTGCCCTGTCCCTGTTGTAGACTCCCTAGCTGCTGGCCCCCATCTGGGACCCCCATCCTAGGTCCCTGGGGCCACGGACTCGCGCTACTCACCCCAGGCCTGGGGAAGGACGCAACCCCTGCACTTCTGCAATCTTAACTGCTGGCTTCCGTCTCCTCCCTCGTCCCCTGTGGGACACCTCCTAAAGACACCTTCCTTTCTCAGCCTGGCCACCATGACACCTTCCAGCCTGCTGCTGGGAGCCTGCCGGACTCTGGTCATCTTCCAGCTATTGGCCTGTTGTCTGCTGCCCCTAGGTGAGGCTGGTCAAGCTGGGTGGACTGGGTGAAGGGACGGGCAGGGGTTGAGGGAACAGAGAAAGCAAAGCACTGCACATCCTGAGCCCTCGCCCCTGGAAACCCTTCAGTCAAACGCAGATCTGACGACGGGCTCCCCAGCATCCCCAGGAGACAGTTCTAACTCCTTGACTCATTTTGGGGGTGGTTGGGTCCTTGCTTGTGATGTATGCTCTGTTCCAGATTCGTCTCTCTCCCCCGTTCAGTACTAGAGGCCTCTTATTTACTCCCAGGTTTATCTAAACCCCACCTTTGCCTGTGTGGCTCCTCTGCCAGAATCACTCTTTTCTTTCACTTGGCAAATTCCTACTTAGGCTTCAGAACTGGCTGTCCAGGAAGCCTTCCTTGACCGACCTCCCCCAGTAGCCCAATCAGTCTCCTCTGACCTCCTCCCCTGCCCCCCACATCCCTCATTGATCCTTACTTCCTCGCGGGCCTGGGAACATCACCAGAGCAGGGACCGTTATCTGGGCATGAAAGGGGCCTGCTGCTGGGTGGGTTGTGGGCACCTAAACAACCACAGAACTTCCTCCTGTTCTTGCAGGTGCCCAGAGCCAGAGCCAGGAGTTCTCCCTGCAGATGGAGCCCCAGGACCCAGTGCTTCCTGCCGGCAGGTCTCTCTTAGTTAACTGCAGCACCAGCTGTCCTCATCCTGAGCTCATTACCCTGGAAACATCCCTACCTAAGGAGGTCATAGGTGAAGACCAGGGCTGGGCAGCCTTCCGCCTCAGCAATGTGACTGGTGACAGCAAGATCATTTGCTCCGCGTTCTGTGATGGCTTCCAGATGACAAGCTCCTCTAACATCACTGTGTACCGTGAGTAGATGTGCCTGGGGGTGGGATTGGCCTTGTTCAGTGCCGGGGGCAGATGGCCAATGGCTCTGAGTAATGGGGATCCTGAGTTTGCAGGATGCACGAGGGCTCAGACCTGGATGCTGTGTGCAAAAGAGACAGACACAGGCAGACAGAGAAATGCATCTCAACTGTGGATTCCAGAAAGTACCCTGTCCCCTGATGGGTATCGAACCCAGGGCCTCAGATATGCCTGGCAAGCGCTCACCCAGCTACACCCCAGCTCCCAAATCCCTGCCCTGCCCTCCCCTTACTGGTTTCTTAGGGATCATTCAGAGTTTCTCAGCAGCTGTAGCACAGGTCTGTAATCCCAGGGAGGGATCCTCCTGAGACAGGAAGAATGAAAGTTTGAGGCCAGCCTGGGCAACTTAGTGAGAACCTGTCTCAAAAAAAAAAAAAAAAAAAAAAAAGGTCTGGGAGGTGCAGCTCAGGGATAGAGCAGCCTTGGGTTAAATTCCCACTACCAACCAGTACCCAAATAAGCAATAATAATTATAATGCGGGCTGGGGATGTGGCTCAAGCGGTAGCACGCTCGCCTGGCATGTGTGCGACCCGGGTTCGATCCTCAGCACCACATACCAACAAAGATGTTGTGTCTGCCGAGAACTAAAAAATAAATATTAAAAATTCTCTCTCTCTCTCCTCTTAAAAAAATAATTATAATGCAATAAAATATTCAGGTGTGGTGGTACCCCTCTGTAGCCCCAGCTAGCTACTCAAGAGGCTTAAGCAGAAAGATTGCAAGTTTGAGATCAGCCTGGGCAATAAAATATAGTGTTCAGTGGTAAAATGCAGAATGCTTGCCTAGCATGTGTGAGGGCCTGGGATCAATCCCCAGGATTGCAAAAACCAAAAAAACCAAAAAAACAACAACAAAAAAACCAACCAACCAAACAACAAAAAGCAAAGATTAGAATAATCTACAAAAATATCAGATTCCAATCTGCATAGGTAAGTGTACTGTATGTATGATTATATATATGCCTGTGTGTGCACTAGTGTCTATATAGATGTTTGTGTAACTATGTGATTGTACATGTATGTGTGTATGTTAGCATCTGTGTTTATTTGCCTATGAATGTTCGTTTTTTGGAGGAGGGTACCGGAAATTGAATCCAGGGGCACTGAACCACTGAGCCACATCCCCAGCCCTTTGTATGTTTTATGTTGAGACAGAGTCTCACCCAGTTGCTTAGAGCCTCTCTAAATTGCTGAGGCTGAACTTGTGATCCTCCCGCCTCAGTCTCCCAAGTCACTGGGATTACAGGTGTGCATCACCATGCCTAGCTGTCTCTGAATATCCATCTATGCCTGTGCACCAGTATCTCTGCCTATGTGTGTATCCTTCTGTATATCAAAATGTTTGTGCATGTCCATTTCAGGATGTGTATGAATGCATGTTGATGTGTCAATGTGTCAGTGTTTCTACCTTTTTTTTTTTTTTTTTTTTTTTTAAGATGCTAGGGATGGAACCCAGGTCCTCTCACATGCTAAGATTATGCTGTACCACTGAGCTACACCACAGCCTTGCGTCTGTACTGATGAACATGAATGTAGACCTCTTGTGTTTATTTGCCTATATATGTTTCTTTGTATGTTCCTATCTATGTCTTGAGTTTACCATGACCATAACCTGGGCCTGTACCCTGAAGCTTCTGAAGGATACTCACTGGGATGCCTTTGTCCAGTGCCCTTTGTCTTGACAAGCTATGGCCATCTCTTCTTAATTCTGCATCACATGAAGTGGCATCAGGTCAGCCAGAGTGGGAGCATTTACACCACAGGAACTAGGTCAGGATTTCCTCTGCCAACCCCAAGAACCCAATTACTAGCATCACAGTCTTGACCTGCAGACCACTATCCCTGCCCAGTGGTAGCCAAGGTGAAGGTGGAAACATATTGAAATTATACAAATTAAGATGTTAAATATCTTCCATAGCAGCCAGTCAATGGAACTCTGTGTAATACGTTTGTGTTGTCAAGGCCAAGAGTGACCTGCTCCACAAAGGAGGCTCAGAATTTTTTCTCTTTTGGACCAGAGATTGAACCCAGGGGCACTTTACCACTGAGCCACATCCCAGCCCTTTTTTATATTTTATTCTGAGACAGGGTGAATGCATGATCCTCTTGCCTCAGCCTCCGCAGCCACTGAGATTACAGGCATTTGTCACCACACCTGGCAGGCTCAGGATTATATAGGTGTGCCTGTGAGAGGCACTGCAGCCACCCCTGGGAGAGGACCAGCCCTGAAGTATTGTGTTCCCAGTGACTGCGTGCCAGAGCATCCTGAGAGGCTGCTGCATGGCAGGTGAATTGTGACAGATGGGAGCATCTGGGACTGATTGGAGAAAACAGAAATAGTCTCTGGAAGTGGCCAAGGCAGGAGTCAAGGCCAGAAGCTAGGAGGAAAGGCCTAGGTATGACTTCCAGGATGCACATCTGCGGTTTGCAAGACCCATATTCTACCCTGGCTCTGTCACTTTCTGGCTGTGTGTCCCTGAGCGTATCACCCCACCTCTCCTTTTTATGGCTGGGGAAGAATAAAAAAAAAAGAATGATTAAGATTTCACTAGGTTGATGTGAGCATGAAGGTGGCTGAAGTTGAAGGTGGAAAGTATAAGGAAAAATCTAGATTAAACAGGAACTTCAATGACTAATATGAATATCATAAGTGGTTAAAAAAAGTGTCCATCTTCTTCCTTCCTCATTTTTTTTTTTTTCCTTCTTAGCTGTGATGTCCTTGGGAACAGAAAATCTTGACTTTTAGTGCCTGCAGTAGGGGTGAAAGGAAATTTCTCTTCTGCCCTCTGAAGGTTTGCTAGAATAAACTGACAAAGATCAACAGGGGGGTGGTGATATAGCTCAGTGGCACAGTGCTTGCCTAGCATGCCAGAGACCCAGGGTTCCATCCACAGTACCAGAAAAAATATTTTTTTTAGTGACTAAAAAAAAAAAAAAAAAAAAAAAGTTGTTCGGGGTTACAGTTCTGGGCAGGGACAGCCTGTCTCAAGCAGTAGGGTGTTGCAGGGTTGGTTGGCTGACAAATACATTTCTCCTCCCTTCTGCCAGGGTTCCCAGAGCTTGTGGAGTTGGACCTCCTTCCCCCCTGGCAGCCAGTGGGTGAGAACCTCACCCTGCAATGCCATGTGTGGGGCGGAGCACCCCGGGCCCAGCTCACCCTGGTGCTGCTCCGTGGGGAGGAGGAACTGAGCCGGCAACCTGCTGTGGGGGAGCCAGCAGAGGGCACTGCCACAGTGCTGGCGGGCAGAGGTGACTACGGTGCCAAGTTCACGTGCAGAGCTGAACTGGACCTGCGGCCCAGAGGGCTGGGACTGTTCCAGAACACTTCAGCCCCCAGGCAGCTCCGAACTTTTGGTGAGGGAGGGGGCTGCAGAAGTTGGGTGATGAACTGAGTCAGAGTTGGGGGTGTTGTGGACCTTAAGAATTTATGGGAAGGCATATTCTTGGCCACTGAACAAGGTTGCCCCAGAAAAAAAGCAGGAGCCTAAGGGAGAAGGCCCCAGGAGGAAGGTCTATGGCCATGCCGGTTGTTCTGGGAAGGGCGTGACCCAAGTGAAAATGTATCCCATGAAGAGGACCCTAGTTGCAGGGATGAGGGATACTGTGTGAGGCCTCCTCTTGTTCACAACTATCCTTCTTCCTAGTCCTTCCTATGGCTCCCCCGCGCCTTGTGACTCCCCTGTCATTGGAGGTGGGCACCTCGTGGCCAGTGGACTGCACCCTGGATGGGCTGTTCCCAGTCTCTGAGGCCCAAGTACAACTGGCGCTGGGGGACCAGATGCTGAATCCTGCAGTCACGATCCACGGAGACACGCTCAGGGCCACAGCTACAGTCATAGCACGTGAAGACCAGGAGGGTGCACAGGAAATTGTCTGCAACGTGACCCTGGGAGGCGAAAGTCGGGAAGCCCGGAAGAACTTAACTGTCTTCAGTAAGAAGGGAAGGGAAGGAAAGCAGTTCCAGAGGAGGTACAAAGAAGGACCTCCCGCTACACCAGGGCGTGGCACTTGGGGGCGACTAAGCAGGGGAGAGACCAGAGCTGCCAAATTAGGGTTGTAGTGTGGGTAGGACCTCTACCCCAAATCCAGCAGAGCCTGGAACTCTCAGCCTGGGGCCTGGAAACCTCGGGAGAACAGGGTGGTGGAGGGCGTGGCTAGGGCGGTAGGAGGGTGGTGGCCAGTAAGCCCCTGGGCAATGCCCTGCTTTAGCCTTCCTAGGGCCCATTCTGAACCTGAGCGAGACCAACGTCACCGAGGGGTCCAAAGTGAATGTGAGTTGCACGGCTGGGCCCCGAGTCCAGGTCATGCTGGACGGGGATCTGGCCCGGGCTCCAGGGGAACCCGCCCAGCTTCAGGTAACTGCCACGGAGGGCGACGACGGGCGCTACTTCTTTTGCAATGCCATCCTGGAAGTGGACGGAAAGATCTTACACAGGAACGTGACTGTCCAGCTGCGTGTCCTTTGTGAGTTATCAGATCTTTCAATTCCTCACCTCTATCTTAGGAAGACTTGAATTTCCCTTGCCCCATTGTGCCTCTGGGGAATTTTGGGGTCTGATCACATGATGGTTTCACAGATGGTCCCAAGATTGACCCGGCCAAATGTCCTCAGCGACTGGCGTGGAAAGATAGGACTAGTCATATTTTGCAATGCGAGGCCCGAGGCAACCCAGTCCCCCAGCTACAGTGTCTGCATGAAGGCTCCAGACGTGAGGTGCCCATTGGGACCCCATTCCTTGTCAAGTTACATCACAATGGCACTTATCACTGTCAGGCAGTCAGTCCAAGGGGCACGCACACCTTGCTTGTGGTGATGCATGTTCAGGGTAAGCAAAAAAGGGGCTGTGGGGATGAAGGGGCAAGCTCAGGAGGGGCAGGAGAACACATATTTACTCCCAGCTTTTCTGTGCAGATCGGAACTCCTTCGTGGTCAGCATCCTCATAGGGGTGTTAGTGATTCTAGGCGTGGTGACTGCCACAGTGGCCTTAATATGCATCTTCGGGAAGCAGACACGGAGCGGCTTCTACCACGTGAACCAGCGAGACACCTCGTTGCCCCTCAGGCCTGTGCAGCCGAATGAGGCAGTGGAATTAGAGCAGTCCTGAGCTGCGGAATGCCAGGATACTGGGCCAAAGACTGCAGTGGCTTTGGCTGTATTCTCAACTTCCTTATCAATAAAGGCTATAAATCCCGTAATCCGCGGCTTGATTCCACCCGCGCCGCGGAACTCTCCGACAGCTCCGCGAATCTACTGAATGGCCCCGCGGAGGCGGAGTCTGCGGCGACCTAGACACCGCTAGAACTCTAAGAGGCTGGGGGGGGGGGAGTTGGCCAATGGTCTGAAGGGGTCGGGAGACAGGCGGGGCTTTTCTCGGCCAATCCGCGGGCGCGCCCTCGTTGCCGCTCTATGCCGCTCCGCCCTGGCTCGCTGGTCCCAGAAGGCGCCGGGTTTCCCAAGATGGCGGCCGACGTGTCCGTTACTCACCGGCCCCCGCTGAGCCCGGAGGCTGGGACCGAGGTTGAAGCCAGCGATGCCGCGGAGCACCGGTCTCCCGAAGAAGAGTTACCGCCGCTAGATCCAGAAGAGATCCGGAAACGCCTGGAACACACCGAGCGCCAGTTCCGTAACCGCCGCAAGATACTGATCCGGGGCCTCCCGGGGGACGTGACCAACCAGGTATGGGGGGGGCCTGTGTGGGAGCGTGGCGGGAAATACCACCGTGCGCGTGCGCGGGGGGAACCAGGCGACACCAATGCTGTTGTCGCCCAGGGGGCATCGGCGGGGGCGCAGGATCCTCAGCAGGGTCGGAAGAGACCAAGAACGAGATGTGGGGGGACTCTGATGAAGGGAGAAACCAACTTTGAATTGAGCGAAGACGTTGCTAGGGGAGACCACAGGCTTGGGCTAGACGGAGTGATTGAAAGGGGCGGGGAATGTTAGGGGGCGGACAGTTTTAGCCCTGATGGGGGATTGTGAATGGACTACCGGATTGGGAGGTGCCATCTGCTCAGATTGTGCTTTCCCCCCACCCCTTTTCCATCCAGTGGCGGGATCTCATATCTAAAAGTTTCAGGGTTAGAGTATTTCCTACCATATCACGCATTTATTCATGACTCTTTAAGAGGTAGATCCGGAAGTTGTAGCTGCCTTCCCCTAAAGGCTCAGGAATGTTTTGGGAAAATGAGGTCTCCTGCCATCATCTTTGTGCAGGAAAGGCCGCCCTGTGTTCTGTGGCGCTCCTCTTGGCTAATCTTCCTGCTAGGAGTGCCCTTTTCTAGGGCAGTGCTTCCCTGTGCTCTTTGGACCCAGGGAAATGCCATCGGTACTGCAGTGCCCTGTGGGAATGGAGGGGATTGGATTGCTTTACTCTCTGCTGCTGAGAATCCCTGTTCCCTGGCCCACCAGCATACCTGCCACTTGCCTTTCTTGCCATGGGTACATGGCAAGTGGGGTCCCAAGAATGTTAGGAAGGCTTGATTTGGACAGACCCGGGCAGATGTCACTGTGCCTTGTCTGGTTTGTTTCTAGAGCTGGTGCTCTTCCTTGTGCCTACCTTGTTTCAGTTGGGAACACATTGTCCCTCTTGTAAAGTGTACAGTGTATCTGGCACAAGCAGGCCCCCAGCCTCGCCCTTGAAGCTGCTTGTGAGAAGGTGGCCCTGTAACAAGAGGGAAATGGGAGGCATGTGAAGCCACACAATGTAAGCTTATTAGGTACATGAGCTCCCTGGTCAGGTACCCCTGGTTAGTGTTCCCACTGCTGCCCTGACCAACTGCACATGTTTCTTCACCTCTTTGAGCCTCAGTTTCCTCACATACAAGATGGGTTTGTTAATCCTGAATTAGAGTTGTTAAAAACAGTCAACTTGCAGATGGAGCTTCAGACAGGTTCAGCAACTTCCTGAAGGTACACACTCTGTGTTGCGTTATTCACATGGAATCTGCAGCCAGGCTCTTAATATCAGCTCTGCTGGGGATGAACAGAATGGGCTTGGGCAAATAATGTTGTTAAACCTCAGTTTCCTCATTTGTAAAACGGGGTGGTAATTCACCCACCTGTGTAGTTGGTCTACCTGAAGGTGGCACCTGGTTGTTCCCTAGTGACTCCCTCTCCTTTGATTTCTGTTTCCACAGGAAGTACACAACCTACTCAGCGACTATGAGCTCAAGTACTGTTTTGTGGACAAATACAAAGGGACAGGTTTGTGGGGAAGTGGGGCGGACCAGGGCAGGAGAAAACAGAGTCTGAAGATGGGAGGGTTTTGGCTGTGCATCTCCTTTCCTAACTTTGGTTCCAATACCTTTTCCAAGGCCAGTGCAGCATGAGCACCAGTCTGTCCCTTGTCCCAAGGTGCCCATTTTGGGACAGCCTTGCTGTTCTTCTCTGTGCTGTCTGGCCAGACACCAGGGCTTGGGCTCACCCTCTTCCTGCACTACTTGCCCCAGCCAGCCAGTCACCCAGGTCTTTTCTCCTTTGAGCTTTCCATTCTCTTGGCTTCTACCTGTCCTGTGTCCCCCTCCATCTCTACTTAAATGGCAGCCCCTCTGTAGCTTCTTTGCTTCCATGATTTTAGCCTGCCTCCTGCATCCCTCAGGGACCCAACTCTAGTCTCCTTTCAAATCTGATCAAACCTTGATCATTTTTTTTTCCTTCCCCAAAACCTGCCTGAGACCTTTCTAGCACTGCCTTGCAAAAATGTGCACAAGCCTCTCCACTTCCTCAAGCACCCATAAGTTTCTGGGCTGTTCCTTTTGCTACTGATCTTAGCTGTGCCCTTTCTATCCAGGCTGCACCCAGGTGGGCAGCTTTGGCCTCCTATGTGAAAGGCCCTTGGTAAACATGTCCTGCCAGGATTGTGCCGGGTGTTAGATCTCACAGAGGTTTCACTGACAAGCTGTAACTTAGGTAGGAGGGTGCCTTTTGGGGATTACCTGGCAGACTGGGGTAGTAGTTAAACTCTTGGGCCCTGGAGGCAAACAGACCATCCTGGTCTGTCCTCACTCTGGCTATAAGCAAGTAACAAATGATGCATTAGCATTTGTGTCTGCCATATACAAGATGCTTAGTAAATAGCCATGGGGACAACAAGTCAAATAGTTTCTGAATACCTAGTAAATTTGCCCCTCAGTACCCACAGAAGATTGTTTCCAGGACCTCCTTGGATATAGCAAAAGCTAAGTATGCTCAAGTCTATTATATAAAATGATGTAATATTTGCATATAACTCACACATATCCTGTATATCTTAAATCATCTCTAGATGAGTTATAATACCTAATATAATGTAGATGTTATATAGATAGTTGTTATACTTATTGTTTAGGGAACAACAAAAAATCTGTTCATGTTTAGTACAGTCACAGTCCCCCCTATATTTTCAATTCATGGTTGGTTGAATTTACAGATGTGGTACCTGTGCTACAGGGAGCCAACTGTATGTGCCAAGCATGGGGAATCAGATGTTGAATGACACTTTTCATTCAAGCAGTTTTTCAGCAAATACTTATTCAGCACCTTCTCTATGCTGGGTCACAGAGACACGGCTATGAACCAAACAGAGATGGTCTAGTCTGGGAAGAAGGATGACATTCAACAGCTCCAATCATGAAGTTTTGTGAAATGGTCTTGGGACCAAAAGCTATAGGGAGGATGCTGTGTGAGCACAGAACCAGGATCATAGGAGTAGTCAGGATGGCTTCACCAGGGAAGTGATGTTTGGCCTTAGGCCAAGGTGGATTGGGGTTGAACAGTTAAGGGAGGGGTCCTCTCTTCCATACTCAGGGAATAGCAGTTACAGAGGCCCCAGGTGCAGTGTGCCTGGTGAGGTCCAGGAAGCAATAGCAAGAAATGCAAAAGGCCAGCCAGACCGTAAGGCTGGGCCACACAGACTTTGCAAATAGAAGACACTGGAGCTGAGGGTTGAGGCACATGCCTGTAATCCCAGAGACTTAGGAGGCTGAGACAGGAGAATTGCAAGTTCGAGAATTTGAAGTTCGAGGCCAGCCTCAGCCACTTAGCAAGGCCCTAAGCAAATTAGTGAGACCCTATCTCAAAATAAAAAGGGCTCAGTGGTAAAATGTCCCTGGGTTTAAACCCTGGTACAAAAAAAACAAAGAAAAGAAAGAGAAAACAAAGACACTGAGGGGGGTATGGCACCATTTGAGTACCTTTTGGAACAAAGCTTCTTTTTGTGACTGCTAGGTGGATTGATAATTTGGAATGGCAGGTGGCTGAGGGACATTTGATGGCCTTGAACAGTGGCAAATGAGGGATGCAGAATGGACCTCCAGAGCTTGACTGCCTGGGTTAATTTTATTTTGTTTTTTGTTTCTTTTTTTTTTTTTAGAAACAAGGTCTCACTATGTTGCCCAGGCTGTCCCTGAGCTGCTCGGTTCAAGTGATCCCCCTGCCTCAGCCTCCTGAGTAGCTGGCAACAGGCCTGTAGCACCGTGCCTGGCTGACTGCCTGGTTTTAAAGCCAAGCGTTCTCTACTGGGCAGGGGGTTGTTTCCTCTGCCCCAGACCTGTGGTTGTGAGGATTAAGTTATTCCTATTTGACATATGAAAAAGCTCAGAGCCCATTTTGGATTTGGGGCTTAAACCCAGGCTCCATTGACCATGTACTTAACTACTCCTCTCATTGTCACCCAAGTTTCTCCCTAAGTTCCTAGGACAGATCAGGTGCAGCTGATGAACACTGCTGTAGGTTGTGAGCAGGTGGAGGGGTGACAGAGGGAGTGGGCCTCGTGGAACCCTGTAGCCCCAGTTGGCTGGCTTGCACTTTTCTCTATAAACTGCTCAAGGTTGGCAACTGTTGGGATTAGCGGGGGGCCTGAGATGTCTGGTGGCTTCATTTTGAAGTCACATCTGGTTTAGACAGTATGGAGTTGGGGGCAGGCCCTCAGGGGCCCTGGCTGATCTGTGTTCCCCTGCTCCCTGCTCCGTAGCCTTTGTGACCCTGCTGAATGGGGAGCAAGCTGAAGCCGCCATTAGTGCTTTTCACCAGAGCCGCCTGCGGGATCGCGAGCTGTCGGTGCAGCTGCAGCCCACGGATGCCCTGTTGTGTGTGGCCAACCTGCCCCCTAGCCTCACACAGGCGCAGTTCGAGGAGCTGGTGCGGCCCTTCGGCAGCCTGGAGCGCTGCTTCCTGGTCTACAGTGAGCGCACTGGCCACTCCAAGGGCTATGGCTTTGCGGAGTACATGAAGAAGGACTCGGCTGCCCGCGCCAAGTCGGACCTGCTGGGCAAGCCACTGGGCCCCCGCACATTATATGTGCACTGGACAGATGCTGGGCAGCTAACACCTGCCCTCCTCCACTCTCGCTGCCTCTGTGTTGACCGCCTGCCACCAGGCTTCAGTGATGTGGATGCCCTGCGTCGGGCGTTGTCTACAGTCCATACACCCACCTTCTGCCAGGTGAGTCTGGGGCCCAGTGCAAGAGACTTTTGGGAGCAGATGACAGCCCAAAGTATCTAGGATGGGTCCTTTGGAGTCAACTGCTTCTCTAATCTGGTTCCCTTTTCAGTAAAGCAATAGCCACACAACTTTGAATGGGGTTCTTGGAAGAGGACCTGGGGTGCAGTAGGTGAGAGCCTAGAATTGGACTGGACGGCTGGGATGTGAATCCCATCCATTGCAGGCCTCTGCTGGGTTCTCCTCCCATCAAAGGCAGGCAAGGCTGCCTTTAGAGTCGCTGATCTTGACTGAGCCCTGCTCACACTTCATCATTCACTCATACAAGCATCAGATGTTTATTGAGCACCAGATATGGGGGCCCAGTATGGTCTCATAGGAGGACCCTGTGTCTTGAGGTCAGAGAGTCAGGTTTGGTCAGATTCCAGCCCTACTCTGGACCCTGGGGAAATCACTCATTGTCAGTGATTCAGTGTCATTGGTTTGGCAAGACAGTTCCTTGTTTGTTCAAGTCACACATGCCAGGCACATCTGTGTGTGTTCCTTGCCCTGTGTCAGGCACAGTAGGATAAGAGCAAATTAGGCCCAGCTCTCTGAGAGCCTCCAGAAATCTTATCCACAGATGCCCAAGGAGGCCATTCCTTCAGCACTTCTCATGCAATTTACTGTCCTGTAACAATCCAGAGAAACAGGTGTCATTCCCATTTTCAGGATACTGAGGCACAGAATTGGTAAAGGGGCATGCCCACAGTTATATAGCCTTGGATACAGCAAAAGCTGAGGATGCCTGGTAGTGTCAGGATTCATGCAGCAACCTGGCTCCAGAGTCCTGGGCTGTCCAGAAGCCAGCATGTGGGCTCAGATGGGACATTTGTGGGTTCAGACCTCAAGTTTGCAACTTTGAGTGGGTATGGTATTCTCATGTAACTGAAATGTTGGTGCCCCATTTAACTCAGGTATCCATAGGAACCTGACTCCTTGTATGCTAGTTACTCATTCATCTGCTACCTCTGTTGCACACCTATGTGCTGGGCCCTGTGTGGAGCTGAAAACAGACCAGTAGTTCAGTGACCTCATTCTCTTGTGTGGAAGCTAAGGACCACAGGAGCATGGCCAGCTGTAGGTCTTCTCCCTGAGCCTCACTTTACCATCTTGAAATGAGGCTAGTAGTGCTGTGGTTTTTATTACTATGTTTTTTGAGATGGGGTCTTACTACATGTCCCAGAATGGCCTTGAACCCCTAGAACCAGGTGGTCCTCCCAATTCAGCCTGCCAGGTATCTGGGACTACAGACATCACCCCACACACTTAATAGTTACTTTGAGTGGAATATTATGAACAGCTGCCCATTTATTCTTTCATTTACACATTTACCACCCATTTATTCATTCATTTATTTTTACCTTTTTCGATTTTGGGGATTGAACCCAGGACCTTGCATATGCTAGACAAGCAGTCTACCATTGAGCTACACACACTGACACCCCAGTTATTGTCTGCTGTGTAGCACACGTTGAGGTGACCACCTCTGAGCAGCTCACAGTCATGTGCAGGGTCCTGAATGGAGGAGTGCTGGGAGTCAGGCATGTCAAGATATGTGCCTTAGTCCCCATGTAGAGAAACTGTTGTCCTTTGACCCTCTGAATCTCTGGAAGATAGGAATGATTATGAGAAGATATGTGTTGGGCCTCTGCACTGGGCCTGACCAGAGATGAAGATGAGGTGCTCTCTGAAATTGAGCTGAAACCAGCACTTCTGCTTAGGCACTTAGCAGGTGCTGGGCCCTGGCCTAACAACCTCCCATAGCCTCAAAACCAGGCCTGGCCCCTGCCTAAAATGAGAGACTTCCCCTGCCCCTTGTTGAGCACCTTGTTTAATGCTCTTAATAATTCTGTCAGGTGTGTCTGGTTGCTGGTCTCATTTTACAGATAAGAACACCAGGGACAAGGATGTACATCCTTGGTCAGCCAGCCAGTGAGAGGCAGGCTACGGTTCAAGGTTATGAAGCTGACCTGGGGCCCACACTCTTAGCCAGGCAGGTACAATGCCAAATGCCAAGCTGGGAATTTGCTGTCCTAGTGGGGAGCATTTGTTTTCTACATAATCAAGTTAAGAACACCTAATAAATCCATGGAAACCCACTCTAGAGCATTTTGCCATTTATTCATGAACAGGTTTACTCCTCTTAATTGCCTTATTTGATTACAAAATTGCTTTAAGCCAGACACAGTGGCGCATGCCTATAATCTCAGCAGCTTGGGAAGCTGAGGCAGTAGGATGGCAAATTCAGAGCCAGCCTCAGCAATTTAGCCCTAAGAAATTTAGCAGACCTTGTCGCAAAATAAAAGAGGGCAGGGCCCAGTGGTTAAGTGTCCCTAGGTTCAATTGCCAGTGAACTTTAAAATATTTGCTATATAGTAAATTTGCAAAATTTACTATAGAAATATATGTAAAGCAGGATCATGGGCTCAATGTGACTCAGCATTTTCAAGACCTTGGATTCCATCCCCAGCACAATATATGTATATATATGTACACACACATATATATACATATACACACATGTATGTGTGTATATATGTGTGTGTGTGTGTGTGTGTGTATATATATATATATATAACAAAGCAGGTATCCCAATACCTTGGTTGTTGAAAAGTCTTTTCTGCTTAGTTATTTTGTGAAAGGCAATCTAGACATACTTGAAAAATTCAATAGGGGCTGAGATTGTGGCTCAGTGGTGGAGTGTTCGCTCACCTAGCACACAGGAGGCACTGGGTTTGCATAAGATACTGGGTTTGATTCTCAGCACCACATAAACATAAAATAAAGGTATTGTGTCCACCTACAACTAAATATAAATGTATAAAAATATATATAAAATTCAACATTCAACAGATCTTGAAAGGCCAGTGGGAAAGACTCCCAGCCCCTAGCACTTTCTCTGGCTGATCCTACTCACACCAATTTGTCTCCTTCTACCAAGATTGTATAGAGAGAGCATACCAAATGCAAACTTCTGAAATAGGAAACATTCAAATCTGAAACTTTTTTTTTTTTAGATGAGGACTCACTGTGTTGCTCAGGCTGGCCTTGAACTCCTAGGCTCCAGATATCCTCTTACCTCAACCCTCTGATTAGTTGGGACTATAAACGTACGCCACTATGCTCAGCCCCCAAACTTTTTGAGTACTGATTGACATGATGTTCAAAAAGTTTCAGATTTTGGGTTTTTAAAAATATTTATTCATTTATGTATCTTTAATTTTTTAGGTGGACACATTATTTTGTTTTTTATGTGGTGCTGAGGATTGAACCCAGTGCATCATGCATGCCAGGCGAGCGCTCTACCTCTGAGCTATATCCCCAGCCCCAGATTTTGGATTTTTTTTTTTTAAAGATGCTCATTCTATAAAGTCCATGCAAATATTCTGAAATCTGAAAAACTCCAAAATCTCAAAACACATGGTCCTGAGCATTTCAGAAAAGGGATATTCAACCTGAATTATGTACATTTCAAAATAGGTGTACACATTCCTGCTTTTCCTTGTTCTTGATCCCCCCAAATTCTCATTTCTGGTTTGATTTGATTTGGCTAGGTTTCTGCACTTTGGTTTTATCTTTCTGTATTTGGACATAAGCTCGCTCTTAGTCCTCCTGTGCCATATACCATTTTAGGGACATTGCATTGGTCTCAAACCTTAATAGTCCTCTCTGTGTCATTAAGGACAGGGATGGACAGCACTATTTCCTGAGACAGCCTTTACCACCCCAGGGAGCCAGGCCTGTGAACAATACCAGCCTGTTTTGCCTGTGATCCCTGCTTTGGCTTGGTGGCCTAGACAGGAATCCAGCCCTCTCTCAGCCTCAGTTTCCTCATCAGCAAAGGGCAGGCACTGGCCTCTGCAGTGCAATGGCAAACGCCAGTGGCCTGTAAGTGTGCAGTCTGTGTCAGTTACAGAGGGACCTCCTTGAACACTTACAACCTGGGGCGGGGCACTGCTGCCGGTCACCACTGTGCTGGTGAGCATCTGCTTGCTCCGGGGCAGAGTCTACCCACAACTCTAGCACCTGAAATACCCTGAGAAACTAGAGACTGGTTCCCTGAATTTGTGGCAGACCCACTTGGCAACAAAGCCTGAACAAAAGTGGGTCATCTGTGGCCTCCTTATTTTAGCCTTCCTGCAAAGCAGTTGTGTCTTTGAGGTCCAGGGAGCTGCCCTAGACCACTCCAGGGGTGACTGGGATGTGATATACACTATGTGCAGCATTTGAATGTCCTAATCTCCAAGTCTTAATCCTGGAACATATCTGAACTCAGAGTTGTGGATAAAGGCATGTGGGTCTGAAGAACAAAATGGCTACTGTTGAGGGCAGCTGAGAGATGTTCCTGTTCTGACCATGTCTATACCTCTGTGCTGGCTGAATGACCTCCTGCTTGGCACTGTCAGCCTCAAACCTCAGCTTAGAGGCACCTGCCTCACCTAGGGATGTGCACTCTTCCCAGCCCAACTCAGGCAGCACTCTAGGACACCTCCCAGTCTCCCAGCTTGTGTTTTGATGTGCTCGAGAGTCTTTTTAGTTATAGATGGACATGATACCTTTATTTTATGTGAGGTGGGAGGGACACCTCACATATTATTTATTTTTATGTGGTGCTGAGGATGGAACTCGGTGCCTCACACATGCCAGGCTTCACCACTGAGCCACAAAATCCCAGCCCCTGGAAAATCTTAATCAGATTCCCTTCACCATGGCATGAGGCCTAGGGCAATTGACCCATGTGAGGCAGGTCCTAGCTCTGCTCTCCTCCCAGCTTTGTGGCCTTGGGCTGCTGAACTTTTGGTCCTCAGTTGCCTCTGATAAATGGATCTGAGAGCTTCTCAGAGCCATTGCAAAGATGAGTTGATCTAACACAGGAGCAGGACTTGAAACTAAGTTCCTGGCACTAAGTCCACCCCTTCTGAGGACTTGCTGTCATGATTGGGAGCAGTATCTGGTCCCTGTTGTCACTTCACATGAGGGATGGCACTCAGGGTGGTATGGTCACTTGCCCCAGTGCTCATAGCCATCTCCTCCACAGCTGGCGTGTGGCCAGGATGGGCAGCTGAAGGGCTTCGCAGTGCTGGAGTACGAGACAGCGGAGATGGCGGAAGCAGCACAACAGAGGGCGGATGGCCTGGCCCTGGGAGGCAGCCACTTGCGAGTCTCCTTCTGTGCCCCAGGGCCTCCTGGCCGCAGTATGCTAGCTGCGCTCATTGCTGCCCAGGCCACAGTGAGTTTGTGTGGGAGGGACTGTTCCCCAAGGTAGGCATGGGGGCCTCCCTCAAGACACTGGGCTCTTGGGGGATGCCCACTGTGGCTGGCAGCACTCTTAGCCACCTGTGTTCCTCTCTGTAGGCCCTCAATCGTGGCAAAGGGCTCCTGCCTGAGCCAAACATCCTCCAGCTGCTGAACAACCTGGGCCCATCTGCCTCCCTTCAGCTGCTGCTCAACCCCCTGCTCCATGGCAGCACAGGGGGCAAGCAGGGTAAGGGGGCCAGGCAGCGTCACCAAGCACTCACCAGGGCCTATAGCCTTGTCCCTCCCACCTCACATCAGAACGCCTCCCCTGCGCTCTCTTCAAGCCTCAGTGGCAGAAGCTCCTGAGGGTGCTGAGAAACAGGCTGAGGGTAGAGGTAGCTGGGGGCAGCCAGGTGGGGTGGTGGGAAGAGTGGGCTATTCCTCCCTGGGGTGGATCCTGCCTTTCTGGGCCCTTCTTCAGGCACATTAGGTGCTCTCTGAGAGCCTCAGTTTCCTGCCCTCTTAGCAGTCTTGAGGCAATGTTGAATGTAGTGGGGACAAGGGATTGTCTAGCCAGGACTACTATCCAGCTTCCCCCTGCATCTCCCCCAGGCCTCCTGGGCGCCCCCCCAGCCATGCCACTGCTCAGCGGGCCTGCCCTGTCTACAGCACTGCTGCAGCTTGCCCTGCAGACCCAGACCCAGAGCCAGAAGGTAACTATCATGGTGGACACCGGGCTCCCTCCGCACCCCACACTGCACAGCCCCGTCTTCCCCTTTTAGCACCTGAGTGCTGCCAGTGGTCCCCCAGTGGAGTTGTGGGATATCTGGCTATGTCGTGTCCCTAGGGCCCAGGATGACCAGCCTCTTCTCTCATGGCAGGGTTTGGCTTTTTTTCACTATGCAGGGGACAGCTGGCCTAGATAGCCAGGGGCAGGTCAGGCCACACTGGACACACTCTTTTACAACCTGAAGCTGGGTGTGGCTACAAAAACCACTGTACTATAGCAAGTTGTAAATAGCCATCTTGCTTCTAGGGAAGAATTTCCAGGCCTCATTCTGCCCAGTGTCCCTCGCAGATGCACATAATATACAGAAAACACATGCTCCACTGGCTTAGTTTACTGGGGCATGTATTCAGTGATATGGCTGTGTCTGGTGGCAAGTGACACTGAATTTGTGGGTTTCAACCATTGTGTGACTAGAGTGACCAAAACCCTTTGTGGCTGTGGTCAACACTATCTGTGATGATCAGCAAGGGATCTGGGTGCCTATGGACTGTCACTGTATATGTGTCTGGTAGTAGTGGAGAGCTTGGGGTTATAGGTCCTGACATGCAAGTATTTCCTGTGACCGGCACTGGGCTGGAATCTGGGTGTGCTGGGTGTTGTGACCAAGGCTCTGAGTGACACCTGTCTGCTACCCAGGTCACCCTGTCTCCAGCTGTCTCTGCTCTGTTCCTAGAAGCCTGGGATCCTGGGAGACTCACCCCTGGGCACCCTCCAGCCTGGGGCCCAGCCCACCAACCCCCTCCTTGGAGAGCTGTCTGCAGGTAACATGGACCCCACCCACCCACCCCTCTGAGGTCCCATTTTCCTTCCCAGCTCTCTTCCTCCCTGGGAATTATAAATTCCCAGCTGTGTGGCCTTCGGCAAGTGACCTAACCTCTCTGTCAAGTGGGTGCTCATGTTATAAGGGTAGCCAGGCACACCCTGGAAGTTAATGTCTTAGAGGCATTTGATCAGGGGCTAGATGTTGGGCAGTGTTGCCCCTTGGCCTCTGGGTAATTCCAGGCAGAGGCCCTAGGGCCCAGGGAAGAGGGGTCCTTCTGGCCTAGGCCACTGACTGATACTCTTCTTCTCTCTGAAGGAGGGGGCCTGCCCTCGGAGCTGCCACCCCGGCGAGGGAAGCCACCACCCCTGCTACCACCACTGCTGGGCCCCTCTGGGGGTGACCGGGAGACCATGGGCCTGGGTCCTCCAGCAGCCCAGCTTACTCCACCCCCTGCCCCTGCGGGACTCCGTGGCACAGGCCTCAGAGGCCTTCAGAAGGACAGTGGGCCTCTGCCAACTCCCCCTGGGGTAAGGCTCCTCCTTGCACACAGCATCATTCCAGCCTCCCGCTTTGCGACATCCCCTCTGCTTGGGACCTTGCAAATCCAGCTCTCCTGTCACAGGTCTCGCTACTAGGGGAGCCCCCCAAGGACTACCGGATCCCCTTGAATCCCTACCTGAACCTACACAGCCTGCTCCCAGCCAGTAACTTAGCGGGTAAGGAGGCCCGTAGCTGGGGAGGCGCTGGGAGAGGCCGCCGCCCAGCTGAGGGCCCCCTGCCCAATCCTCCCACCCCTGGTGGAGGTGGTGGTAGCAGCAAAGCCTTCCAGCTCAAGTCCCGCCTGCTCAGCCCCCTCACCAACGCCCGCCTGCCCCCTGAACCAGGGTTGCCCGACAGCTATGGCTTCGACTACCCCTCGGTAAGTACCTGGCTGCCTGGGATCAGCCATCCCTGAGGGCCAGGTTCTGTGGTCCCTTGTCCCCTGAGAGTAGCTCAGGGATACAAGTTGAACATCCCTAATGCAAAAATCCCAAATCTGAAAAGTTCTACATTTGAAAACTTTTGAGCACTGACATGCCAATACAAGTAGAACATTCCACACTTGACCTCATGTGGGTAGGTCCCAGTCAAAATACAGACATGTTAACCATACATGTAAAATGACTTTCAGGCTATGTGTGTTAGGTATATATGAAACAAATTTCTTGTTTAGACTTGGGTCCCATCCCCCAAATATTTCTTCCTATATATACAGGTGTTCCAAAATCTGAGAGTCCAAAATCCAAAATACTTCTGGTTCCTAAGGTTTCAGATAAGAGACACTCATCCTACTCTGCTTCTCTGGTATTAATTGTACCTAGCCAAGCATTAGGGAGACACCAGGGGATTTGTTGGATATGGTCCCTGCCCTTAAGGCTCCTATTGCCTTTCCATTCCCAGGACCTGAGTAATCTCACCCTGCATTTGTCTTTCTGTCTGTCCTGTGAGGTATTAGGCATTACTGTTTCTCCATATTTAAAGAACTCAGAGTCCTGCCTGTCTTTCCATTTCTGCCTCCAATGTGAGGAGGATTCTTGTCTATATCAGAGATTTGGTCTTTATGAGATCCCCACCACCTACTGATCAGAAATTATAAAGTGGACACCCACAGGCCACTTGTGTTAGGTTTGACTCACACTGGATTAGAAAACAACAAAAGACTGAATAAAAACTGCTAGAGTTCACACATCCCAGATTCCCAGCTTGCCTTAAAAACTATGAACCTCTGACTCCCTTGGGTCTGTACACCATAGCATCCATCCCTGGGACCAGATCCACCTGCCCGCTGGGAACAAACTACTTCTGGTCTCACTTCAGCTGACCCACCTAGTCACAGGCCCTGTACCATGAATTTGCCTCCTTCCTGGGGGCAGGGTGGGGGGAGGGTGGCTGGCACAGATTCAGACCATATGTGTTTCTGCTCCTTTCATTCAGGATATGGGACCTCGGAGGCTCTTTTCTCACCCACGGGAGCCAGCCCTAGGGCCTCATGGACCTAGCCGACACAAGGTAAGAGTAGCCTTTTCATCCTACCCCGGGTTATAGCAGTTAACAGGCTGGCCCATTACTTAATAGCTGAGCAAAGCTAACTTTTTTTTTTTTTTTTTTTTTTTTAGACTAGTGATTGAATCCAGGGCTACTTTATCACTAAGCTGCATCCCCAGTTATTTATTTATTTTTTTTTTTGGTACTGGGGTTTGAACCCAGAGTTGCTTAACCACTGAGCCACATTCCCAGTCCTTTTTATTTTTTATTTTGAGACAAGGTCTCACTAAGTTGCTTAAGGCTTTGCTAAGTTGCCAGGACAGGCTTTGAACTTGTAATCCTCCTGCCTTACCCTCTGGAGCTGCTGGGAATTACGGGCCTGTGCCACCACATCCATTTTTGAAATAGGGTCTCACTGTGTTGCCCAGGCTGGTCTTGAACTCTTGGGCTCAAGTGGTCCCCCATTTAATCCTCTCAAGTAGCTGTTATTACAGATGGCTGCCACTGTTCCTGGCTGCAAACTTTTTTTTAAATTTCTCACCATTCTGTGGGGGCAGCAGGCAGTTCCTCCAATCACTTGGGAGCTGAGTTCATCAGGGGCTCAGTGGTCCCCAGTGTCCCCTCACAAACGTGGTAGTTCGTAGGCTGTTGAAGGATGCTGAGCCGGGGCAGTTTATCTCTTATCCACATGGAGCTCATCCTCCCACAGGCCAGCCTGTGCTCACTCAAGTGACCATGGTCTCAGGGTTCCGTGAAGGACCAAGGGAGAGCAGGTCCCCATGTGCCAGCTTTCTTCATTCCTGTTGATCAAAGCTCATTATGGTGAAGCCCAGAGTCCTTTAAGAGGGGATCCTACAGTTGTCTTCATCACTCAACCAACCCCCTCTCTGCAGACGTCTCCCCCACCCAGTGGCTTTGGAGAGCGGAGTGGTGGAGGTGGCAGGGGGCCCCTTTCTCACTTCTATTCGGGCTCGCCCACTTCCTACTTCACCAGCGGCCTGCAGGCTGGCCTCAAGCAGAGCCACCTCAGCAAGGTGAGGAGCCTCCCCAGCCAAGGACAACCAAGATGTGGGGGTTGGGGGTGTCTGCCTCCAGGGCTTTGTGACCCTTGGTCCCTCAGCCAAGGCTGGGGCAGTGGCAGCCGTTGGGCTTGCTCAGGGAAAAGTGAAAAACACTTACACACTGCCCCTATACCTTCATATTGAGTGGTAGACTTCTTGCCTTCCCTGCTTCCTCTACCATTGATCCAGGTAGCTGGTATTAGCCCCAGTTGACAGGAGGAAACTGAGCCTCAGAACTACAGTAATCTGCCCCAGACCTTATTGGTTTAAGTGGCAGATGCAAGACATGAACCAGAAATCTCTCACCCTCCCTCTGACCTCAGGATTGACCTTTCCCACTTCTCCCATTTTTCCAGGCAGTCGGCTCCTCCCCTTTGGGCTCCAGTGAAGGACTCCTGGGTCTGGGCCCTGGGCCCAATGGCCACAGCCACCTCTTGAAGGTACATGCAGGGGCAGGAGGTGGGGACATACTAGGCTGGGAAGTCTCAGCCCTTGGGTGGCCCCTGATCTGGTTCCCCCTGCCCTTTGTCTCCAGACCCCACTGGGCGGCCAGAAACGCAGCTTTGCTCACCTGCTCCCCTCACCTGAGCCCAGTCCAGAGGGTAGCTACGTGGGCCAACACTCCCAGGGCCTTGGTGGCCACTACGCAGACTCCTACCTGAAGCGGAAGAGGATTTTCTAAGGGGCCAATGCTAGAGATGCTCAAGGGCCTGCACCAAATTGCTTTTGGGTTTTCTGGTGTTGTTTTGTGTGTGCGCGCGTGTGTTTTTGTGGTTGTTTTTTTTTTTTTTTTAATTTTCTTTCTTTCGGTAATAGAGAAATCTCTGAAAGACTTTGCTGACCAGCCAGCCGGAGCCCAAGGAGTATGGTGGCATCCGGGAGCCTCATGGCACCTCTGGCCTGCTCCCAGCGCCGAAACCCCGCAGCCTTAAGAGAGAGGGGCCACAGTCTGCTCTCTCCCCCTCCTGTGTCTCCTGTCCTCCGCCTGTGCCCGGCTCTCTGGGAGTCCTCTCCTGCCTCATCACTCCTGTATTTTGGCCTTTCGAGTGCCTTGGAGGTTTCCCTGACCTCCCGTGAGGATCAGAGACTGTCCCCCTTTTTTAACTTTGACAATTGACTTCTGTTTCCTTTTCTAATTTTTATTATTTTTTAAGCCATCCAGGATGAGCCCTAGCTCTGATTGCATCAAGGTCCAACCTGTCTGGGCCTCCATTCCACACTTTGCAGTTTGTAACAGCTCCACACTTTTCTCTTTTTCCCATGTCTGCTGCAGGCATGGCTATCTCTTGCCCCTACCTGCCCACTCTGGCCAGTACCCCAGCCCTGGGTCCCCAGCTCCCTACCACAGTCCCCTTGCCTTCTGATGCCTTAAAGTTGGGCCACAGGCCCTGCTGGCCAGAGCCTCTCAGATGCCGAGCTCCAGAAGCTTGACTCAGGACCAAACAGCTCTGGCCTGGGGATTGGGCCCCTCTACCCAGGGTCTCCAACCCCGGGACGGTAGAAGGCCAAAGCCTTGGTCTTGGCAAACCAGCCCTCACCACCCCTTCACCCAGGCCTAGGTGCAGAGACGGGCTTTCTCTGCCAGCTTCAACCAATCCCCCTGCCAGTGGGAGTGGGCTTTCCATGCCCATCTCCCGGAATTTCTGCTGTCTCCCCTTGTTGAAGATGAGCTCCATCTCCACCCCAGGCCAGATCCCCCGGAGCTGGCCTCCTTTCAGCCCAGTACGACTCATGCAGATAGGCTGTACACCTGCCCACCAGCAGGACCTGTCCACCTGAGGTGACCCTGGGCACTGCCCCTGGCCAGCTGGGCCACCAGCTTCCTTGTCTTGACTCTGGGGCCCACATTCACTTCAGGGGATGTCCTCTCCCCAATCTTCCCATACAGACCTTTGCTGAATTAAAGTTTGTAAGTAAACGGTTTTAAAGAAATAAGAGCTGGCTGTTTCTTGGGATGACAATGGTCCTGGGTGGGAAGGCCAGGTTGATCTAGGATGTTTCCACGACTGAGTTCCCACCTGGTGCCCTCCTCCCCTGGTGCAAACACCTCGCCGCCTCAGGTCCCAAGCAAACCTCTGCGTTTGTGTTTGGGTTTACGAGCTCTCGGTTCGCGTGTCCGGGACTGCGCATGCTCGGTCGCCTGGTCACGTGATGCCTGTCATGGCCGCCTCCGTGGCCCGGGGCGGCGTGAATGCCAGGGTCTTGCTGCGGATGGCCAGGGGTTCCTGGTGGAGCAGGTCCAGAGAGGCAGCGGCGCTGGCGATAGCCAGAAAATTCTGGACGACAGGTACCCAGGGCTCCTGGGACAGACTGCGTCAACTAGTCGGACGCCAGCAGAGCGGGGCGCAGCCGCTCACCTAACCGTGTTTTCTAGGCTCGCGCCCGGCAGGAGAGGAAGAGGCCGGAGGCTCTGAGCGGCCCGAGGACGTGTGAGTGTACGGGTCCAAATCCCTGGTTCCTCGTCCCATGAGGCTCCCCGATTCAAGCCCTGTTCTGCAACTTCATCCGGGGCTTTTTTTCCTGCCTCGCCCCATTCAATACCTACCTATTTGTCTCTCCCATCCCGTCTCCTAACCCTAGAATCTGTGCGGCCCCTTGAGCCCATGGTCCAATGTGGCATCCGCTCTCCCATCTGTCCCCAGGGTGAACGTGGTCTTCGTAGACCGGTCAGGCCAGCGGATCCCGGTGAGCGGCAGAGTCGGGGACAATGTTCTCCACTTGGCCCAGCGCCACGGTGTGGACCTGGAAGGTAGGAGCCAAGTACAGGAAATTATGGAGGACCTGATCCCCTCCCTCCCTCCCTCCCTCTCTCTCTCTCTCTCTCTCTCTCTCTCTCTCTCTCTCTCTCTCTCTCTCTCTCTCTTTTAATCACATCAAAACAGATATGTCTCTCTATGGACTAGCCCACCTATGGCTTACTACCTAATGTGTACTAAAATCCAAATTCTTCACCATGGCCTCATCCCTTTCCCAGTCTTCATTTATTAGAGGCACTAGAACTTCCCTCTGGGAGCTGTGTTCCCTTCCTGCTTGCTCCCTCCATTCTAGCCACTCTGTGATTTCTCAAACAGATAAGCTCATTCCTGCCTCAGAACCTCTGCATTTTCTGTTTTCTGTGTCAGAAGTGCTAGCCTTGCAGACCTTTTTGGTTCCTTCTCATCCTTCAGTTCTCAATGTAAATGTTTTCTTCCTGACACTTCCATCCCAGTCCAGCTAAAGTCTCCATCCCAGTCACCCTCATAGCACTGTTTTGCTTCCCTCCTTGCCATCTTTCCCATGGTGAGCTCAGGGACCCAGTTCACCTTGTTCATGCTTATCTGTTGCCTGGCATGGTACTTAGATGTAATAGGTTTTAAATCAGCTTTTGCTGAAGGAACAATAATAATAACAAATTACTTTAAGCACACTAGTACATATCAACTGGCTGCATCTTCATGAGAACTTTATGCGATAGAAGAGATTTATTCCATTTTACAGATGAGGAAACTGAACACCAGCTTAAGTAGACCCATCCCAAAATCAAGTAAGTGGCAAAACCAGATCCACATCCAGCCCATTTGAGCCCCTAATCTGTGCTACCCTTCTGCAAACATTGAATGCCTACTATGTTTTGGGTAACAATGTACAAAACAGATAAGGACTCTGTCATCTCACACCAATTTCAGCCTAATAATGATAATAATCCCAAGAGTCAACATATTATTAAGTCACGATCAACTGGAAGGGTGGTATTAAAAAAACCATATACACTGCTGGGTGCAGTGGTGCACACCTATAATCCCAGCAGCTGGGGAGGCTGAGGCCAGAGGATCACACACACATTCAAAGCCAACCTCCGCAACATGAGATGCTAAGCAACTCAGTGGGACCCTGCCTCTAAATAGGGGGCTGGGGTTGTGGCTCAGTGGTAGAATGCCTGCCTCGCTCATGTGAGGCACTGGGTTCGATCCTCAGCACCACATAAAAATAAATAAAAATGTTAAAAATGAATAAATAAGGAGCTGGGCTTATGGTTTAGCACTAGAGCACTCACCTAGCATGTGCAAGGTCCTAGGTTCGATCCTCAGCACCACATAAAAATAAATAAATAAAATAAAGGTATTGTGTCCAACTACAATTAAAAAAAATATATTTAAATAAATAAATAAATAAAACACAAAATAGGGCTGTGTATGTGACTCAGTGGCCACGTGCCCCTGAGTTCAATCCCCAATCCCCCACCTCCACAAAAATAAAGAAAAATAAAAATAAACAGGGTTTATTTGTTGGGAGACTATAATAAGAAATCTTTTCAAGCCAGATGAGGTGGCATCTGCCTGTAATCCCAGTGCCTAGGGAGACTGAGGTAGGAGAATCACAAGCTCAAAGCCAGCCTCAGCAATTTAGAGAGTCCTTAAGCAACTTAGCAAAACTCTGTCTCATAAAATAAAAAGTACTGTGGATGTGGCTCAATGATTCATTAAGCATCTCGGAGTTCAGTCCCTAGTACCAAAAAAAAAGTCTTGGGGTTGGGGCTGTGATTCAGTGGTAGAGCGCTTGCCTAGCATGTGTGAAACACTGGGTTCAAACCTTAGCACCACATAAATAAATAAATAAAATAAAAGTATTGTGTCCATCTACAACTAAAAAATGTATTTTAAAATTTTTTTTAAAGTCTAATCCAATCATTAAAGGGGCTGTTGGGATATTGGAAGGCCATAGCAGTCCTTCCTACCATGGAAGCAGTTATTTATTTATTTATTTATTTATTTATTGTTGGTTGTTCAAAACATTACATAGTTCTTGATATATCATATTTCACACTTTGATTCAAGTGAGTTATGAACTCCCATTTTTATCCCATATACAGATTGCAGAATCACATCAGTTACACTTCCATTGATTTACATATTGCCATACTAGTCTGTTGTATTCTGCTGCCTTTCCTATCCTCTACTATCCCCCTCCCCTCCCCTCTTCTCTCTCTACCCCCTCTACTGTAATTCATTTCTCCCCCCTTGTATTATTTTTCCCTTTCCCCTCACTCATGGAAGCAGTTATGTGTTAGAATGCAATAGCCAGAAGTCCAGAACTGAGTTTGGAACATGAATTTTAGAGGCAAGTATCCCGTATTCAAATCTTGCCTTTTAACAGCTATGTCCCTGAGCAAGTTACTTAGCTGTTTCCTCATCTATAAAATGAGATGATTTAGTTGTCATCTCATTGGATTGCTGTTAGGATGAAACAATATTTAGTAGTACTTTGTACCTGGCACAGAGAGAGGGAAGGCAGATTGACTGGGAACAGGTAAACCCAGAGATTAAGGTGGTTGAATTAAGACACTCTGGTTGCAGATGAGCCAGGCTCAGTGATGCTTGCTTATTTTTTTTTTCCTGTGTAGTGAATTTTAATATTTATTTTTTTAGTTTTTTCGGCGGACACAACATCTTTGTTTGTATGTGGTGCTGAGGGTCGAATCCGGGCCGCACGCATGCCAGGCGAGCGCTCTACCGCTTGAGCCACATCCCCAGCCCGATGCTTGCTTATTATCCCAGCTATTTGGGAGGCCAAGGGGAGATCACTTGAGATTAGGAGCTAGAGACCAGCCTGGGCAACATAGCAAAATCCCATTTCCAAAAGAAAGAAAAGTTATTTGTGGTGTAAACGGGACACAAAATTAAAAGGGGGACAGGGACACGAAATAGGAGTTGGGGGACTCAGAGAATAGTTGAGTTGAGCCCCAAGAATGGAAAAAGTGGAGAGAAGAGCATTCTAAATCATGGATACAGCAAGTGCAAAGATCCTGAGGTGGGGATGAACTGGGGGTATTGGAGTTTGGCTATTAGAGTGGCATCAAGAGGGTCAATGTGAATGAAGTGGAATGAATGAGGGGAGAAGGAATCTCAAGGACTCAGTAGAGGAGTCTAGATTTTTTCTGGATGTGAAACCATTTGAAAAGTTTTAGGCCAAGAAAGACACCAAGCATAGTTCTTGGTGACTGATCAGAGGGTTCAGAAGTGTGTCCAACAACAAGTGATGAGGAGAAAAACCCTAGGTTCTGCCTCTTTTAATCCTTACTCCTGACCTATTCTCCCTTCTCCTCCGGAGTCAGCCAGGGTGTCCTCTGGGAGCAGCAAGGAGGCAGGGGCACACTGGCCTAGCACAGGGTCACAGCACGGGCTCACAGGCTGCAGGGAATCTGTGGGCCGTTCCCCTCTCAGCTTTGCTGAAGTCACTCCATGCTTATTATTGGTTCCACACACCCAGCCAGGTCCTCCGTCTGCTGGAGAGTCCTTGGGAATTAAGACACTCTGGACATGCCCTCATAAAGCCTGCAGGCAGCTCCAGAACAAGGAACTGTGCAGGTGACCTGACATATGTGACCCGGAGGGAGTGCTGAGGCCTGCAGAGAAACAAAGAGCTTCTCCTTGGCACCCTTTGTGGAATGGCGCCTGCCCCTCACCAACCGCTCCCTTCACTTCCTGCCCCCAGGAGCCTGTGAAGCCTCTCTGGCGTGCTCCACCTGCCATGTGTATGTGAGTGAGGCCCACCTGGATCTTCTGCCTCCCCCTGAGGAGAGGTGAGCAGGGCAGACCCCCAGGCTCTGAGTGGCAGGGCTCAGCTGCTGAGCCTCCAGGTCCCCATGTCCAGAGGGGCCACCAGGGAGGGCAGCCCCAGTTCTCCCACCTCCAGCTGCTGGAAGGGGAGCCTCCCCCCTGCCCATTCCCACGTGGACTTGGTCAGCCTGCCTACCCCAGGGCTGCTAGTCTCCCCAGCAGCTGGGCCAGCATGTGGACGGCTAACGCTGAGCTCATTGCCCAGGGAGGACGACATGCTGGATATGGCCCCCCTCCTCCAGGAGAACTCGCGCCTAGGCTGCCAGATCGTGCTGACCCCTGAGCTGGAAGGGGCTGAATTCACCCTGCCCAAGATCACCAGGAACTTCTATGTGGATGGACATGTCCCCAAGCCCCACTGACATGGGCAGCAGGACTGTCCCCCACACCACCATGGCCCCAGGGCCAGGACTTGAAGGAATAGTCGAGCCGCCAGCCCAGCCCAGCCCGGAGTGCGAACAGGCTGGAGAGAGATGTCAGGAGCACGGCGAAGGCCAGAGACCATGCTTGGAGAGATCACTGTGTCCAGAGTCTGGAGGGGACAGGGCCCCTACTTGGGGTGCCATCCCCCAGCCCCTAAGAATGGGAGCGTGAGCAGGGGTGGACTCAAATTGGAGCTGCAATAAAACTGTCTCATAGATTTCCAGCATGTCGAGTGTCCTTGGGGGACCCCACATTCTGCATCTGCTGGAACCCCAGCTCTCCTGCCGGGCAGCAAGAGATGACCACTGGGGATCTGAGGCAGAGCAGGTTGCCCCGGCGGTGAGGCCCCGCCCCTGCAGCTGCGGAGGGATTTGGAGGGATAGAGGCTGCCCTTGGCCCTGAGGGGTGTGCAGGTGACCTGAGTAAAGCCAGGAAGGAGAGGCAGCGCTGAGGAGACCCCAGCGGCCCGCCCCACCCAGCTGGGGCTCATTGCACCCTCGGGCAGCGGCCACAGGGCTTTCCACCCCTTGGTGGTGGGGCGGGGCTGGGGTGTGACTGCCAAGACCCCGACCTGATGCTGCTGGGAGAGCTCCTGGCGTCTCGCTGTCTGGACGTGGAGCCGCCAAGACCCTCCGCCCAGCAGAAGCCGAGGCCTCCCGGATGCTTCAGGCTCAGTGGCAGGTGCGTAAGGCGGCGTCTGCCCCCACCCTGCCGACATTTCACCTAGCCTGGTGGCAGGGGGTCATGGCCTCTGGTTCTTGAGGTTATCCAGAGGTCACCAAGTTAGTTACTGGTACTTCCAAAAAGAGCTTCTGGTCTCCAGACACTTAAGATGATCTAGGCTCTGAGGCCACACAATTTCACACCTCCCTGAATCCCCGTGGCCCATGTGAGCACCACCGCACCACCGAGGGTCATCCAGGGGTTATGTAGGCCAGCGTATCAGTGATACAGACAGAAATCATATAAAGTCAGCGGGTCTTCTACTCAGAAGTCAGAAGCCCTGGCCTGGTCACCAAGAGTAAGTCCCTGCTTCTTGGGCTCCTGGGTGGATTAAATGGTTAATAAGGGCTGAGAACATCACCTGGCATGCTTACCTTGAGCCTTGTTTGCAATTACTTTGTAACTTTTCAACCTGAAACAACCTAGAAGGGATTCCACAGCCCAGGCTGGGTGTGTGACCTGCTCAAAGGCACAGTTAGCAAGGAATAGGCTCCAGTGAGCACCCCCGGCCTTCTGGATCCACGAACCACCCAGGGATGGAGGTAATCACCTGGCCTCTTGTCCACAGGTCCCTCTGGCCTGGATGCCAGGACTCCATCACTGCCCTGGGCTTCCTTCAAGAGACAGAAGAGGGGCTGGCCCTGCCCCCAACTCAGGACCCCCTGGCCCTGGTACCCTGCTGGGGACCAATGACCCTGGGGACTTTGGACCCCTTAACTATGGCCAGGAATTCCAAGAACATGCAGACCCCAGTCAGCCAGAAGCGCTGCAGCATGGTGCCCCCTGAGGGTCCTCCAGCCCCACCCCAGAGAAGACCACGCAAACAGCCGCACCCCTGCCGGGGCACTGAGAAAGGGGACCCCACGTTCCAAGGAGTGACTCTGACTTTTGAGTTAAAGCCGGACTGCAGCCTGCAGATCTTGCCCACCTACAGGTAGGGCCCAACTGGGACAGGGTGACCTTTACAATATCCACAGCAGCTGGTTCTAGGACCCCACCTCCCTTCAGTTACCCAAATGTTATAGAAAATGCCATGCTATTTGCGTAGAGTCCATGTGCAAACCGTATACTTTGCTTTATTTATTTTTGTGATATGATGGGTTGAAACCAGGGCAATCTGCCACTTAGCTACACTCTCAGCCCTTTTTATTTATGTTCATTGTGGTATTGATGATTTAGCCCAGGGGTGCTCTACCATTGAGCTATACCCTCAGCCCTTCTTTATTTTTGAGACAGGGTCTCCCTAAGTTGCCCAGGCTGACCTCAAACTTATGATCCTCCTGCTTCAGCTTCAGAGTTTCAGAGTAGCGGGGATTACAGGCATGGGCCACTGAACCCAGCTTCCGGTGTACTTTAAGTCTCTTCTAGACCCCTTAAAATATCTCATGCAGTATGTAAATAGTTAAACTGTATCATTTAGGAAATGAAAAGTCTGTATGTGTTTAGTACATGTGGATTTTTTTCCCTAAATATTTCCTTTCTTAAAAATTTGTTCTAACCCAGCGGCTCGGGAGGCTGAGTCAGCAGGATCATGAGTTCAAAGCCAGCCTCAGTGAGGCACTAAGCAAATCAGTGAGACCCTGTTCTAATAAAATACAAAATAGGGCTAGGGATGTGGCTCAGTGTTGGAGAGCCCTTGAGTTCATTCCCTAGTATCCCCCCACACACACACGTTTTTTTTTTTCTAATTATGTATACATAACAGTAGAATGCATCCTGCCACATCAGGCATAGATGGAATATGACTGCTCATTCTTCTAGTTGTACACATACATGCACATAGGATCGGAATGTCCAGCTCATTCTACTATTCTTCATACCTGTTCCCTTTTCCCCAAATATTTACAATCCACAGAGTTTTTTTGATTGTTTGGTTTGTTTCTTTTCTTTTTTCTTTTTCTTTTTTTTTGTACCAGGATTGAACCCCAGAGCGCTTAACAACTGAGCCACATCCCCAGCCCTTATTAATGTTTCATTTCCAGACAGTGTCTCACTGAGTTGCTTAGAGCCTCTTAAGTTGCTGAGGTTGGCTTTGAACTTGCAGTCCTCCTGCCTCAGCCTCCCAAGCCTCTGGCATTACAAGGTGCGCCACCACACCTGACCAGATTTTTGTTGTTATTTTTACGATGCTAGGGATGGGCCTCCAGGGCCTCCTACAGTTGGTTGTGGTCTTGGATACAGAATCCCTGGATAGGGAGGGCTGACATGTACATCCAAGAAAGGACCAGGACATTGATGGGGACTGGAATGTGGCTCAGCGTATGGTGATTGCCTAGCATTTGCAAGGCCCTAGGTTCAACTCCCAGCACACCACCAGAAGAAAAAGGAAAGTATTGGGAGACAGATGCCCTGCAGTCAGTCCTTCCACATGTGAGATGGCTCAGTCTGATTAAGACCTCAGGCTAGTGCCATGTCCAGCCCTGCCTCTGTCTCCACTGAGACTTGGTCCCCTCTGTCAAACAGCCTGGTCCATACGGAGGGCAGCTGTATACTTTCCCCAAAAGTGAGGCTCTAAGCAACTTAGCAAGACCCTGTTGCAAAAAAATTAAAAAGGGGGGGGGGGGAATGTGGCTCAGTGGTTAAGTGCTCCTGGGTTCAATCCCCAGTACTCCGCCCCACCCACAAAAAAAAAAAAAGAAAAAGAAAAAAATGGTTACTGGCAACACGTTTAAGTTTTGGTATTGGGAATTGAGCCCAGGGCACTTTTTCACTGAGCCTCATCCTCAGTCCTTTCTTTTTCTTTTTTTAAAATTGGAGACAGAGTCTTGCTAACTTGCCCAGGCTGGCTTTGAACTTGCCATCCTGCCTCAGCCTCTTGAGTTGCTAGGGTTACAGACATCACTACGGCCCTGGCAACAGGCAGCACTCGATGTACGCGGGCTCATGATGCCCATTGTACAGATTAGAAAACTGAAGGCTCGAGGGTGAGGATGTAGCTGGTCCAGGGCCACACAGCAGGCAAGGGGGAGAACTGGCACTTGAGCCTGTATCCCAGCACACCACCCTTAGAATGATATGTTATCGTTCAGACTCCGACTGTCTCCTAGGGCTGCCCCCATACCTTGATAATGAGTGTTCAGGGGACAGGACACCGATCCCCAATGCTAATGCCTCATCTGCCCCGCAGCAGCCACTCTCAGGGACCACCCTCAAGCCCTGCCAGTGCCCCTGAGCCCAGCCCTGGAGGCAGCGAGGCCCAGGGTGAGTCCTGAAGATATAAGAGCTATAAATATTTGGGGGGGCCAGCTTCCTGTCCTCCCTGTCCTCCCTGCCTCTGTCTCCCTGCCCCCTCCCCCTCCTGCTTCCCCATTTAGACCTGCCCAGGAGGAGTTGGAGTGCACCCCTCCCTTCAGGCTGAGTCACCCCACCCCCAGCTTCCTCCCCTGCTGAGCTGCACCATCTGTCCCTCTTCCTGGCTCTCCCTCTGTCTTTAACAACACCCAGGGCTGGCCCAGAACCAGGTGGGGCCGTCACAGGGACCCCCACTCACAATGCCCTACCTCCACAGGTCTCTTGAATTCAGATTCTTGACTCTGATCTTTGCCCTTTGACCTCTGACCCTCCAGCTCCACGATGCTGTGCCTCCTGTAGGACCCAGAGGACCCCTCTCTGGAGAGATGCTGAAGATGGGACCCCTCTCTGCAATGCCTGTGGTATCAGGTCCTCAGCATGGAGGAGGGAGTTGGGGTCGGGCCCCCCATTAGTGTGGGGGGATCTGGGAAGAAGAGGTACTCTTGAGGAGAATGGCTTCCTCATGATAGTTTCTGGGTCCCTGCTGTATCTTTTGTTTTTAGTTGCAGATGGACGCAATTCCTTTATCTTATTTATTTATTTTTATGTGGTGCTGAGGATCAAACCCAGGGCCTTTCTCCACTGCTGAGCTACATGCCCAGCCCCCTGCTGCATCTTAAATGATAATTTCTTGTATCTCCAACCCAGGTACAAGAAATATGGTACCCGTTGTTCCAGTTGCTGGCTGGTGCCCAGGAAAAGTGTCCAGCCCAAGAAGCTGTGTGGCAGATGTGGGTTGTCCATGGACCCCCACCAAGACCCAACTCAGGAAATGTAAGCCCTTCTTCACTCAAGTGACCTGGTTCTGCCTCAGTTTTCCTAGGGGAAGAATGGGCAGAACTCCTAGGAGTAAGGAAAGTCAAGCCTGTCTCCTGTCTCTCCCAGGAAGAGTATCCAGGCTCAGTCCCCAGATTCCCTGTTTCATGAGGTCACCCCCCCTGGTTCAGCCCCTTCTCCAGTCGGGCTTGATTGGACTCCAAATAAAGGAAACTGTTTCAGCTGTGACTGTTGTTATTGCTGTTAATACTTTGAGAAAGCCTGAGCTACTCAGAGCAGTGTGATTTCGGAATCCCATTCTGGGTACTTTCCTTCACTTCTCCCCATCCTGGGAAGATGGGGGCAGGTGTTTCATTGGGGTTGTGAGGAACACACACACACACACACACACACACACACACAGAGTTATATATATACAGACCAACACAAGAATTAACCACATTCACTCAGCACAGTGTCCTATATAGGGAAACAGTCACCACACAAACGACACACATAGATGTACAAGACAAATGCATGTGCTGACACCCACATGTGAAAGACACACAGATACAGACTGACCACACCAATCAATAGACACAGCCAGTGACAGACACCTGTGTGTCATCGCACAGGAGACAGATGCATGTCGACAGATACACAGGTGGGCCCTTCATCTGCTAGCCTCACCCCTGCTTTCAGACTGTCACCCTCCCTGCATCCTTGAGCATACCAACCCTGTGTCCCCGCCCTCTTCAAGAGATGCCTCCCAACCCAAAGCCAAAAACTGACCAGGGGAACCAGCCCTGGGCAGCTGGGATGCACAAGTCACCAGAGCTTATTGAGAGGGAGAAGAAAAAGCCCAAGAATGGATAGGGTGGGCCAGGGCTGTGACTCAGTGGTGGAGCACTTAGCCAGCAAGCCCTGACTTCCATCCTCAGCACTGCAAAAATAAATAAATAAATAAATAAATAAAGGTGAGTTGCATCAAGGTTGTGTCTGCTGCCTACTGCAGGAGGTGAGAGAGTACAAACCTGCGAGACCCTCCTAGTCTCACCTGAGTACAGCTGTAGGAAAGGCCCCGGGGCCCATATCCTGAGCCCTCAGATCATTGCTAACCTTTCCTCAGCCTGAAACATCTTCCCTCCCCAGGGCTGCTACCTTCTTGTCATTTGGAAAAACTTAATATCACCCCTTCAGGGAAGCCTTCCTAAACCACCGACTCTAAAACAGAACTCCACACCCAGCCCACGGCAGTCTCAGGTTCAGCTCCTTGCCCTCTTAGAACCTTCCAGAAGTTTCATTTCTCTATCTGGCCCAAAAGTATTTAATCACATTCATCTCTCTCCAACTAGACCATGACTTAGGTCCAGGGTGGCCACATCTGTGTGCTTGACCACAAGAGGCCTCCCCAGTGCCCAGCATGGAAAAACTTGAGGTTACACATTGAACTCATCAAGGTCTCTGTCTGCAGATTCACAACTGTTTTTACCCATTTATTGAGCATCTATTGTGTGCCCCAGTGGGGATACTTGGTGAATAGAAAGAACAAAGTACAGGACTGGGGTTGTGGCTCAGTGGTTGAGCACTCATTTCCCACGTGCAGGACCCTGGGTTCAAGCCTCAGCACCACATAAAAATAAGTGAATTAAAGGTGTTGTATCCAACTACAACTAAAATTTTTTAAAATATATTTTAAAAAAAAAAAAGAACAAAGTACAGTACTGTGGTACATCCTGTAATCCCAGTGACTCAGGAGGCCAAGGCCAGAGGATGGCAAGTTCAAGGTTAGCCTCCAGAACTTAGAGCCTATCTAAAAATAAAAATAGCTAGGGGTATAGCTCAGTGATAGTGTTCCTGTATTCAATCCCCAGTACTGCAAAAAAAAAATAAATAAATAAAATTAGGGGCTGGGGTTATGGCTCAGTGGTAGAACATTTGCCTCACACCTGCAAGGTCCTGGTTTCGATCCTCAGCACCACATATAAATAAGTAAAATTATAAAAAAAATTAAAAATGAAAAGATCAATGATCTTCTGGGGCCAATATTCTAGGCTGAGAGAGCAATATTCAGTTAGCTGGAGCAGTGGTGTATACCCTGAAGGCCCAGCTACTCAGGAGGCTGAGGGAGGAGACTCACTTGAGCCCAGAAGGTGAATTCAGTCTGGGAAACACAAAGAGACCCCATTTCTTAAAAATAAATACAATTTCAATAAAATGTCAAGCAGAATCTTTTTTTTTTTAGTTGTAATTGGACACAATACCTTTATTTTTTATCTTTATGTGGTGCTGAGGATCAAACCCAGGGCCTCGCACATGCTAGGAAAGCGCTCTACCACTGAGCCACAATCTCAGCCACCAAATAGAATCTTAAGTAGTGATCTGGGCTACAGAAAAATGTGTAAGAGGAATTGAGCCAGATGCGGTGGCACACATCTGTAATCCCAGCGACTGGAGAGACTGAGGCAGGAGGATCATGAGTACAAAACCAGCCTCAGCAAAAGAAAGGCACTAAGCAACTCAGTGAGACCCTGTCTCTTAAATAAAATTCAAAAGAGGGCTGGGGATGTGGCTCAGTGGTTGAGTGCCCCTGAGTTCAATCCCCAGGTACCCCCCCACAAAAAGAATTAAGGGGCTACTTTATCCATGGGGCTCAGGGAAGGTCCCCTCAGGGATGGCATAGAGACTTCATGATAGTAAACTAGGGCTGGGGTTGTGGCTCAGTGGTAGTGAGCTTGCCTAGCATGTGCAAGGCCCTGGGTTCGATTCTCAGCACCACATAAAAATAAATAAACAAAATAAAGGTACTGTGTCCAACTACAAATAAAAAACAAATACTTAAAAAAAAAAAAGGTGGGGAACTAGCAAAGGGACCTGGAGGTGAGAACTCCCCTGTCAGAAGGAACAGCGTGGGCTGGGTATGGTAGTGCACACCTGTAATACCAGGTACTCTGGAGGGAGATTGAGGCCAGCTTCATCTTAGTGAGACCCTATCTCAAAATGAAATAAAAAGGGCTGGGGGTATAGCTTAGTGGTAGAGCACCCCAGGGTTCAACCCTCACTATCAACAAAACCAAACCAAAGGACAGGATAGGCAGGCAAGATTTTATGGGCTTCAGGGGATCTGGAGGAGGCCAGGGGAAGTGGTAGAGACTTTGGGGGGGGGGGCAGCAGGGACTCTAACTTGCCTGTGCTTTGTTGCTTTTTGTCCCTGGCACTTAACACCCAGAACCAGTTTGCCCTCTCATGCCCTCCTTCCTGTTCTCATCTTTGCTCATTAAATGTTCGAATGGGGGCAGCCAATGAAGCTTGGAGCTGCCCAGGCGGACTTCCTTCTCCAGAGCTCTGTGTTCCTGTTTTTGAGGGAGGAGGGAGAGAGGGGGAGGCCCAGCTGTTCTCTCCTTATGCCATTGGAGGGATGGTGATGTGCGTGGGGGTTGCTGCTGATCCCCTGTGTTAGCTCTGAATCATGATGGGTCAAGTGAAAAGCAGGTTGGGGTAAACTGAGGCAGTGTGGGTGGACACTGGCTGGAGGAAGCTCTGGGGAGGGGGCAGCAGTGGTCCTTTAACAGGAGGGATATCCTGAGGGCTGACACCCACAACTGCAGCCACTGCTCCTCCCTCCACCCATCCCACCACTTGGGAAGGACTGCTTGGCCTCTCCGGCAAGGCGGCGTGGCTCTGCTGGTAAACAGACCTGGGGAAAGCACCTGATCTCCCACCTTCAGGATCTAGCTGGGTCAGGGGGCAGATCGGAGGTCCACGCTGGGCGGAAGAGATAAGCAACAGGGAGGAGGAGGAAGGAGCTGGTCCCCACCCCTGCCCAAGGGTCCTGTGATGGCAGGAAACAGGGTACAGGGAGGTAAAGCTCCAGATCACACTGCTTACCGGCGGCTTGTCACGTGCCTGACGCCTGACACATAGTAGGCTCTCAAAAAAAAAGTCTTTTGGAGGAATAATCGTCGCAATCGTGATTCGACCACATTGTCTCACTTTGCATCCACAGAAGCCGAGACCGAGAGTCCTTTATAAAAACTTTATTGGGGGAGATGGGTAGAAAATAGGGGTGATGCCCCTGGAGTTGAATAAATAAATAAATGAATAAATAAATAGATAGAACAATAAATAAGCCCCCGTGTGCGCCTGGGGGGCGGCCCCCGGCCCGCGGGGAGAGGGGAGCAGGTCACGCGGAAGTCAGCTGGATGGCGAAGACCTCGCCCCCCGCCGGCGACTCCGCGGAGCCCCCAGTCTCGGGTCCACCTTCCGCGCTCCCGCCGGCGCCCCCGCCCGCGCCGTTGAGGCACACGGCCTCTCCTGAGCTCTCGGCCTCCTGGACGTTGTACTCGCCCTTCTTGCAGGCGGTGGACTGCACGTAGAAGGCCAGGCCCGCCCCAGCCGCCAGCAGCGCCGCGCCCCCGGCCGCTCCGCCCACGGCCACCCACAGCCACGGACCTGCCGCGTGGAAATTTTCACCGAGGGTGGGAAAGCGCCAGGCTCCTCCCACCCCCAGTCACTGTCCCCTGGCATGAACACGAGGTCAGCCTTCATGCATCTGGCATGTGAGCCCCAGGGAAGTGAGCCCGGCCTGTGAGAAGTTGGGGAGCACCTAAGGCCCTCTAGGGGCAGTGGGACCGCAGACCTAGTTGACACCCCATGCGAATACAAGCCCTTGACCCCATAGTGGTGAGTCAATTGTCTCCATTCCCAAAAGGACGAAGACCAGTGAGGCCAGCGCAGTTTCTCCACCCCAGAGAGAACCATCCCCAGGAGCTACATTTAATGGGGGAGGGCACCTCTTTGACCCCCATCAGCTTCCCTGGGTCCCCCTTCCCCACAGCGCCATAGTGGAGGGTGAGTTAGGTCAAGTCGTCCTCACCCTCTACCCCAAAACCCACTCCAAGTTCATCAGAGCCTCCCACAGCTGTCACAGCTATGAAGGGTCCCTCCCCCTGGAGCTGACCTTCCTCCCGACCTCCGCCTCCCACCCCTGATCTTCCATCAAGAGCCCCATTCGTCAGGCGCGTTGACTTCTACTTTGACCCACTTTGGTCTCGTCTTTTGGGATGGAGAGGCAGAGATTGATACTGACCCGAGCCCCAAGGCCGGGGTCACGCCCTCCAGCAGATCCCTTGCTCCACCCCCAGCTGTCACTTACCAGCCACGCGCACCGTGATGCGCCGTGCGTGGCGCCCGTGCGCGTTGGTGGCGGCGCACTCGTACTCCCCGCCGTGACTGCCCATAGCGCCCGCCACGCTTAGCGTGCTATTGTTGCTCGACAGGCCGATGTTGAGGGCTCCCGGGGGTGCGCGCCAACTGATCTGGGCCGGAGGCCAGGCCTCTGCGCGGCAGGTCAATGTGAAGTTCCCGCCTGGCCGCACGCTCGAGGGTGAGGCGGCCAGCTCTGCCACTACCGGAC